CTTTTAATTAAAAAAAATTATACATTCAATCACACTATTTAGCTTAGAAGTGAACATTTCAATATGTGGACATTTCTCCCTAGTCCAGTTGATTAAAATATCTTCAACAGATAATACCACACCTCTCCGTCCCATCAATGCTCTGCCTCTGTACCCCTCCTCCAAATGTCCTTCCCTAGGCCCCACTCCTCCACACACACCATATCTGGCATTCACACCCATCTCTTGTGTTTGTATGTCTTTTAGTCAATCAGTTTCAGTCATAGAGTGCAGACACTCGGTATGTATTACGTGGGGACATACAATGTCTCTCCTTCATAGCCTGGCTTGTTTCACTCAGCAGTATATCTTCCATATTCTTCCACTTTCTGTCAAAAGCCAGGGTTTTGTTGAGTTTTTATGGCTGAATAGTATTCCATAGAGTATATGTGCCACAGGTTTTCAATCCATTCATCTGTACGTGGCCATTTGGGTTGGTTCCATGTCTTAGCAATCATGAATAGTGCTGCAACAAACATCCATGTGCAAGCACTTTTCCAATAAAGAATTCTTGTCTTTTGGGTAGATACTAAGGAGTGGGATTGCTGGATCATATGTTATTTCTATTTGTAGATTTTTGAGGAATCTCCAAATTGTTCTCCACAGTGGCTGGGCCAATTTTCATTCCCACCAGCAGTGTAAAAAAGATTCCTTGTCACCATATCCATGCCAACACTTATCATTTTTTTTTTTAATCTTATACATTCTGACTGTGGTTAGGTGGCATCTCATTGAGCGCAGAATTCTAAGTTGAGAGCTTTTACTCTTTCCTTTTTTTAATTAACAAAATGGTATCTTTTAGTGTACAATGTGATACATGTGTATGTGTGTATATGCATATATATTTATATATATGTATGTGTGTGTGTGTATATATATAATCCATGGTGGAAAGCCATATTCTTTTTCATATTCTTTCTTCATCTGCAGTATTTTCATTCATCCGACGACCCATACCAGTGATTTAAATCACCTTAACTCTTGGTCTCCTGCTTTCTGTATTATGGAGATCTGTTGATTTTATCCTGTTCTTCCTAATCTGTCCCATCTCCTCCACCTCCACTAACTTTGCCTATTCTGACTCTATCATTTTTGCACCTGGATGTCATCATCCTATTTTTTCACCCCCTCTTCCCAATTAGACCATAGAAGACGCTCACTAACTGGTCAGTTGGTGGAATGATTACATTGCAATGACTCCTTTCCCCACCTCTGCCACCCAATAACTCACCATACTTACATGAATACATAAATTGGTCATGCCACATCTCCCGCTCCCTCAAATCCTTCCATTGCCTCCAGCATTATTATTAAATCTGAGTCCTCTCAGCATCTGAGTGTGGCACGCAGGAGACTTCTTGCTTTTCTCCTGCCTCAGCTCCCTCCATCCCTAAATGCATCCACATTGCCACCATGGGAGGGGACTCAGTATCATTAATCCTTAAGGTCCTCCTTTCTTTTCTTTCATTTTGTATAATTCGCATACAATAAAGTGTAGACTTGAAGTGTGCATATCAATGAACTTTGGCAAGTGTATATACCTCTATGGTCATCACCTTGATCAGCATACAGAACATTTCCACCATCCCAGGAAGTTCCCAGTCAACCCCTCCACCCTCAAAAGAAGGTAGCTTCTGGTCTAATTCTTATTATTTTTGTGTGTGTTGGGCTTAATTTTTTCTTCCATGACAGACAGGGAGAGGCAGAGATAGAGCAATAATAGTAGGATCTTCACACTCCAATATAACCTCAGTCTCAGCCAGTCTGGATCACAGGCATAGATATGGATCCCCAGTAGATAGAGAGAGGCCTCAAGATCTGAAAATGGGACCTCCATGTGAGTCCAGTTACATCAACCCTGTGCTACCATCTGGCCTCAGGTCTGGCTTCTTTTACTCAATATAATGTTTGTGTGATTCACTCAAGTGGTTGTGTATACCAGGAACTCATTCCTTTTCATTGCTGAGTAGTATTCCACTGCTTAAATATACCACAGTTTGTTTTACACATTAGTAAACTTTTGACTTGTTCCCAGTTTAGGGTTTTTATGAGTAACAAATAAACAATCTTATATAATACTTCTGTGAACATGGATTTTCCGGAGGGACTAAATATCTGGGAACCGAATTACTAGGTTGTCAGAAAAGTCATGACATATTTTTTTCTAGGCAAAAATGCATCATGACTTTTCCAATCCAAATACTGTGGCCTACTCAATAAGAAACTGTCTATTGTTTTCCCAACCATGTATCTATGTACCTGGCAACATTTGATGTTTTATTTTGTAGACATTAGTTCCAGTGTATGTTAAGAGACACTTTATTAAGGTTCTCTATATTTATTTTCTTCTGAAGTAGTAATGTCAAGCACCTTTCCCTGTGATTATTGGCCATTTGTATATCCTTCTTTGGGAAATGACCCATCCAATTTTTACCCACTGGTTTCCTTTTTTATTATTCAAGGGAGTTATGTATTTTGAATACAAATTTCTTGTCGGATATATCTTTTTCCAGTCTTTGGCTCATCTTTCATTTCCTTAATGATGTCTTTTGAAGACTAAAAACTTACTTTTGATTTTGTTTTTAATTCTTTTGCTATAAGGTATGCACACTTACCAGAGAAGGAGAGAAAGAATGAGAGAAATAAAGTGAGAAATCACCTCCCGGAGGGGGTGATCATGCCACAACTCCTCCTTCATTCTTCTCTTGGGATTTTAGACACATAAACACCCGGCATGTTTTTCAAGCTGCCAGTCTGGAACTTGAACCATGCAGTCGGCCATGTGGGATCCAGTGCTCTAAGCACCATGCCACATGCTGAACCCAGACATTTGTAATGTATCATCTCTATTTCTTTCTTTTCAATTCGCCTATGTTGGATTCTTTAACTGCTAGAAATTTTGACCCTGTTTTGGGGAGTCAATAGACATAACACAATATGGTAATCGCCAAGGTACTTTTTCTTCACAAGTTTAGGACCAACCTGAGAGGAGGAGCTATGCTTTATTTAATGTTTTATACCTAGTACAATGCCTACCAAGTAGCAGGTGCTCAGCAACTATCAACATTTAAATAAACCCATAAGTAAATTGCTGAAAAGTAGAAGAGTCCATTCAATTTCATCAATTAACTTCTTTACATGTAATTTTCTCTTCCTGAAAAAACCTTTTCCCTTTCCTTTCAGGCATATATAAGCAGTGAAAGCTTCTTTGTTGCTGTCATTTCTATTTTTATTTTTTTTCCCATGAGTGAGAGAATACAGAGAAAAATAGAAAGAGAGAGAGACTAAGAGAGAGAGAGAGCCCCCCAGGGTCTTGATGCCATGATCCACCCCAACCTCAGCTGGACCCAGATCATTGGCACACATGTGTCCAGATAGGTCTTGGGACACCAACCCAGAACCTTGTCAGGTGGTCAGCCTGGCAGAGCATCACAGTTTACCTCTCCGCTGCCATTTGTCTCCAACAGTGAAAACGTTCGAGGTTGTACAAACAGCTTTTTTTGTACTTCAAGTGTACATCACTAAGAATCTGCACATATGTACTTTTTTTGCAGATTTTATAGTTGTTATTATTATTTCATGAATCCTGATTTTCATTCAAGATGTAGTGTATGTCATTCTTAATGAGACATTCCTCATGAAATTCTAGGGTGTCTTAAACCAAACAAAATCATATGACTAGACAGAACTCTTTGTCAATTAACTTTGTCACGGAGTGATGAGCTTTTTATTCTACCAAGGCTCACAATGTCTAAAATCATATGGACTACATAAAAATCACAATGTCATCTCTAAACCTCTCTCAGAAACTAGTCCTTAATGAATCCCATAGAGGACTCCAACTTGATCATAGTGCTAAGTCATGCTATGTCCTGACAGGAAGGAGGGACTTAAAAATATCTGAAAAGCACCAGCAATTCATGTAAATGATGGGTTAATTGAGGAAACAAAGTGCAATCTTCTCTTCTCTGCAGGAAGCCTCAGAGTGGAGAAGCCCCTACTCAGGGGACAATGAGACGCAATCAAGTGACATTCAGCACACCATGAATTAAGCGTGTGAGAGTGAAATAACTTTCTCTATACCAACAAAGCTCAAAAAGTTCAGATTATTCTTAGTCAGATTCCTGCATTCTGCTTCTAGAGCAGCATGGATCCATACTTCTATGTATAGAGAGTAACAAAAGTGTAACTACATGCACAAAAAAATGAAAATGTTTAATTTTTAAATATGAAAAGTATATAATTTAGAAACTAATTGAAGCTGACGCTATAAGAATTTTCTACAATAACTTACACTTGCCTAACAAAGAATATATCCATTATCCAATATGCAATCTTTGAACCTAAAAGCTGGTTCTGTTAGGGGGTCATAAAAGACCCTAAACATTTCCTTTCAGTCAAGCCTTTCTGCTGGGGGTGGTGCTGTGAGATCACTTTTCTCAAATGGCCAAGATCCCCAAGACTGATATGAGACTGGCCCTGGCACAGAAATACAGGAGAAACCTATACCTTGTCAAAGGTGAAGAGGAAGCAAGTCCTTGAAGCTTGTGACATTTCTGTTATCACCGTAGAGATGGTAAAACCAGGCATCTCCTTAACCATGATCTGGTTTTTATTATCTGAAGGCATGTCAAATATTGCCCATCTTCTCATAATACAAAATAATCCTAAAATTCTTCTCTTATGAGAATTTGGTCATGATTAAAATAAAATAAACAGGAAGTCAGAATTCTGGTTGTGAAGAATTCTAAGCTGAAAGTAGAAATTGCCCTACTCCCTTTACACACACTGTGTACTTAGAACAATACCTGCTTGGGTGACTAATGAGTGCCTTTAGATGAAGCCCTGTAAGTGTGAAAAGGAACTTTTGGAACACCAGGACCTTCGTAGTGTAAAGGCTAGCTTTAGAAATGAAAGAAGAAAACCTGATAACTGAATTAACACTCTATGACTCCTCTAGCTATTGATCAAAGAGAGAATTTATTCACAGCGCTTTTCAAATACAAACAAAATAGCACTTTTTAATTTTTTACAAAATGAATATTGAAGTAAATGTGGTACAGCACAGTACAAGAATGGACAAAAGAAAACAAGAGCTAATGACTGAAAAATGTCTTTCATTACTTTCATATCTTCAACATCTTCAACCGAATTCTCTCCTACAGCAAACAGAAAGTTGTCTCTTCATAAAAACATCATAGCAGAAGCTACTCAGAGAAAATTGCATATTTCTGAATATTATTGAAATATGAAGGCTTAACTCTAAGGTCTGCATGAACTCTGAGAACATAACAAGGGTGTAAAGAGTTGATGCAGGATATACAAAATACTGATAGAGTGGCTTATTGGTCCATTATTATGATTAATGGATGCTTTATAAAATGATAATACTGTATCTTAAATGTATATTAAACAGAAAACAGAGGAGCAATGCACCACTAGACCTCCTGTAAGTCGGTACAACAAGCTACAGGTTTGTGTGTGGGCGTGTGTGTGAACGTGGTATGTCTACATGTGCTCGTGTGCTTTCAGGGGTGCCATGGCCTACAGGGAACGTCTTTGGGGTACCCTGCTTCCCAACTTAATACTGTTTCTACTAGCCCTTTTGATTCTCCAGGCCCTCACCTTTACAAAACAAAACAGAACCAAAACCTTTGTTTGCATATATAGATTTGTGTGTATGTGTGTTCATTATACATTAACAATACTTTGTGGAGTGGAAACACCCGATGCCCTGCAATATTTTTAGCCTTTGGTCCATTTTTTTTCCCCTCCATAATTCCACATTCTCCATTTCTTCTACAAATCTCCCACCACCCTTCCTTCCTATACAATATTCCTGATTCCATCGGGTTCCATTTCATCAGCATTGTAAGTAGCGGGATGCTTCAGCCCCTTCAAGCCCCTTTGGCCTGTCTTCTCCTCTGCTCGTGGTGGCTCCATCTCAGTATGGGTAGTGCTTCTGTTTCTTGCCTGAGAAGCAAGCCAGCCACGTGCACAACAGCATGGCGGTGGCAGCCCCCGCTCCCGTGCAGTAGTAAGCCCAGCCGATTTCACACTTACCTAGGGACAAAGAAAAGAGAAAGTAGGCACAGATATGATGGCTTTGTAGGAAGTTAGGTTACTTCTTCTGGTATATATGTCCTGAAATGTCCATTGGGAATATGGTTTACTATACTGAAAGTCACTCTAGAAGGGAAGAAAGCAAGAATGGTTGTGAACAATTACCTTGAAGTCTGTGCCTTAAGCTAGCTAAGAGGAAATAAGGCTATTCCCTTTTCCCAATGTCCACACGCTTGGCTGAAGAACAGAGGGAATGGCGGCAACCAGGATAGGAGACATGGTGTTAACTCTAATTTAAATCACTCAAACTCACTTTCATAATAAGGAACTTTAGAGGGGGAAAAAAATCTAAATATAGTAATAATAATAATGATTGGGAAAAACAATGAAAAGATATTGAATGATGAAGCAGGGAGATTAATGTCTCTGTATTGACTGACATGCATAGCATTCCCTTTTGAAAAAGCAATGTAATACACTTTAAAGTTATATGCAATTCAATGTAATGTAAACAAGATTATGATGATAATAAATAAATAAAATTTTAAAAAAGTAAAAAAGTCACAAAAGAAAAGATAGACATGTAAGACCATAAGAGAAATAAAAAATTCGTATGTGATAAAAAAGTTCAAATAAAAAATATATAGATATGATCCTTCCACAAAAGGGTTGCTCTAAGGAGGAGACCATTTAAAGGAGAACACTACAGTGCATACCATTCTTAACAATTTGCACTCCACCACCGGAATTGGGGAGCAAAAACTCTCACATTCTTCTGGGACTCAACATTCACTTTTGAGTTAAAGATTCATTAAAAAAAAATGACAAGAGTACAAATGGGTTCTGATTTTTCAGAATTAGATTAGTAGTAATAGTAATAACATGCCCACAACACTAAAAATATAATGAGTAGATTTCTTTTTCATATATTGTCTTTGTTGATTCTTCTAACAACATTGTGAAGTAGAACACTAGCTCTGCATGGTTGACAAGGACGTTGATTATTTAGAAAGGTTGGTGATTTGCCCTGAATCACATGCTTATAATTAGTGATAAACTGAGTCCAGACTTAAACTTGGGTTTTATACTTTAAGAATAAGCAGCCCCTGACCCAAAACATTGTATGACCTTCAAAACATTTCTCAGTTTATAAATACAGTTTGTGTGTGGAGAGAGAGAAATAGGAAAAGAGAGAGAGAAATTTCAGTCTCTACCACTAGAACGAAAGCTTCAATAAAGGGGGAACTTTGTGGACCAGCCCATGGAGTAATAGCTACATTGCTGGACTCCCACAGAGTTAACCATGGTTCTAGTCCTGGAACTGGTGGCTTAAAACTCACATGGGCACGTGTGTGCATGCCCAAAATCCTGAGAGGAGAATCGAAAAGGTATTGCAGTATGCCTCCCCTTCCCCAGGGGGTGATTTCTTGCTTTTTGTTTCTTATCTCTCCGTCTCTCTGGCAAGTGCATGCACCCTATAGGAAAGAAAAACTCTCTAAATAAATAAATAGTGAACTTTATATATTTTGTCTCCTACTGCACCCTTACAACAGTGCTTGGCCATGATAAAACTCAATAAATAATTGTTAACTGAAATAAAGTAAAAAAAAAAAAAATCAGTATGGAAGCAAAGTAGACAGCCAGTTCCAGAAAAACAGAATAAAACAGAATAAATCTGGAATTTTATTTTAAGGGTGACTAATCCTATCTGACACTGAACTTTTAGAAAGAAGTTCTCAGACTAAACATGTTTTTCAGCCCCATAACAAGTGTGTTAAATTTAACGGGATAATAGATTCTGAGAGACTTATGTCTCCACCTCAGGGTGAGTACCACTGGCACAATGACAGATTGGTACTGACAGACAGAGTAAGCATTTTTCAAGGGTAACAGAGCCCTTCTTCAGGAACCAGATTTGCTGACATCCATAGGTTGATGTAACTGTGAGTCTTGGGAATGACCTCCATTTTGAATTATTCTTTAGCTGAATTAGATAATCTAGGAAGGAGAATTACGAACTAAATAGATAAGAGGTGGCCAGTGGTTTTGAACCTTTCAAAGAGCTGGCAAAATCTGTGGTCCATCTATTAAGTATTGGGCTCATAAGAAAATACAATCAATTGTTCATTACTAACAAAGTATTGACCCACATATAGTTCCATGAACTAACATAAAAAAGCAGAGAATATAATTCTTTATCAAGTATTAAACACTTAACTCAAGAAAAAGTAGGCGATGAGACTAATTATTTGAGAATAGTATATGTGACAGTGACCACATTTATTAAGTAAAAATGGCAAAAAAGAAGTTACTGAAGGGTTAACTATTAGATGGCCAAGGAGGAAGAGGGTAACACACACACACACACACACACACACACACACACACTTAGTTACAGAGAAGTCAATAAAATAACACAAGTGTAAACTTCAGAGCCTATAACTGGCAGGGGAGCCCATGGGTAGATGTTCCACCCAGTTCTTCTAGATCCCTTAACTGGTTCTGGGCTGTTACCCCCAGCTTCTGTCTGTGCTTTGCTAACAGTTTACATTACAAAGAAGGATCCAAGAATGACTGGAGACATTTTGTCCCAACTACCGACCACTGAAGTGACTCCTAGCATGACCTATAGGCAAAGATGTAGGAGTACAAATGTCCAGCTCTCTTGTCTCCAGGTTGAACAAACTGCAGAACTGTAAGGAACTTTCCAGCACACCTGTGAGTTCAGGCTGTGGCTGGGACCACACCCCAAATCACACCTTGTGTGTTCACTCCTTCACTCTCTTGCTTCCCAACCTTCTTGCTGGTTTTTCCTTGCCATATTTCTTTAACCACCTGAACACAAATCAGCATCTCAGGATGTCCTCTGGGGAAACATAGTTCAAACAAGAATAAATGAACAAAGCCTTGCTTGCTTTTCTTTACCATAAAGTCTGAAAAGTTTATTCAGTTGTCAGAAGCTTAACCTCCCACCAAGACACCCAAGCCCTGCCATCTCCCAAAAGACCCAGAGTCAGAACAGAGACTCCAGCACCAGCTGTCTCACACCCTCCTGGCACTCCTTCTTCCTGGGGCAAATCCAGATCCTTGTCTTGTTCAGTATGCAATTGTAATTTTAGTAATTATTATGTTTCTGGATCCATTCCTAAATATTCATAAAATATGTAGCCAGTTCATCAGACAACCGTCTAACAGATGAAAACCGGAAGAAAACTAAATAAAGGTCCTGAAAGAAAAGAGTGTACCATAATAAAAGAAAATGTTTAAGGAAGCAAGAAAACATGCCCACTGATTACACAAGTATGCAAGTTTATGCATTTGATTTATGCACTTTGTGGCTGAAATTGAGCAACTGGTCAAGATCCCAAATGAGCGAGTAATGTTCAGTGTTATTTATTTATTATTTTTTTAAATATTTTTAATTTTATTTACTCATTTACTTATTTTATTTTGACCAGAGAGACACACACACAGAGAGAGAGAGAGAAAGTGAGAAAGCAAACCACCAGGTCCAGGACTTGAACCATGGTTGGCTATATGGGAATGTCCAGTGCCCTAACCACCACACCATCTGCTGGTCCCCATTCAGCATTATTTAAAAGAAAAATATTCATCTATTTCAGACAGGGGAATTTTTACTTGGTAATTCAAAAAATAATGACTAAATCAAAGGTAATTTAATATGGATTGTTTTCTAGTATTTTGGATTACATAGAAATATAGCAAGCCCACCAAATTAGCCCCCTAAAATAGTCAAAAGCACACACAAGCATATATACATACACACCTTTCGAGAAGCAAAAAGTGATCAAAATAAGTCTAGTAAATGCAAAATGTATCAACAGGATTTAAACCAATCTGAAAAGACACTGAGTTATTCTACCTCAGATCCTTTTTTTTTTCTTTCAGTTTTCTTCTGAGAGAGAGAGAAGGAGAGAAGAGAGAGAGACCTCCAGCAGAGCTGTCATGTCATGATCCATGTCAGTGTCTAGAGGTCCTAGAATGTGAACTCAGGACCTTCCCCATGTGGGTCTAGCTTCATTACTGCTGTAGCACCTGCCTTCTAACTCTTGATTCTCTCCTTCCTCCTTCCATTCCACCTTTCCTCCCTATTTCCTTGAATTCATTCATTACTTCAACAAATGTTGAGTGCTTGCTCTAATTAGGAATCACAGAATACTAGGCACTTAGAGATAAGATAGATACAATCCCTGCTCTTAAAGAGCTTATTGTCTAGTTAAGGATATAAATATTAAATAATATTCAGATAATTATATAATAATGTGATTCATGCTTTGAAACAAAAAAAAATACAGGATGCCAAAACAGCCAGTCTCGAGGGATTTAGATAGTGTGTTCAGGTCAATGAAAGAGAGCCTTAAATTAGAAGAGAAATTTAAGCCAAGATCTGACAGATAAGCAGGAGTGAGCCAAGCATGAATATGGGAGGCCAGGGGAGAGTGTGTTCGGATTATGGAGATGAGAAATGTAAGGAGAAAACACAGATTTGGGTCTGGCCAAAGTGTTGCTCAAGTAAGAAATGAATGCCATTTGGGGCATAAAATGAGAGATGGGGTGGGCTATGATCACTTTCAGAGTTTGAGAGATGGAAGCCTGAAAATGTCTCCTTCAAAATTTTCATTTGTATTATTAGATAGAAATATGGGGTATGCAATGTTCACAAGTAAATCTTCAGAACCTGCTCTCTATTTTGGAATGTTGTAGGAGCAAGAGACAGCAGTAATAAAATACAGATAGAGTCCTTGGTCTTATAAAGTATATTAATACTTTCCGGCAAGCATTGCTCATATCAGTTACTTTACATTGAAACATTGCACTTGTATATTATATACTTGTTTTGTAGAAATCCAGTTCAATGAAATAAAACAGATATAAAAGGGTTTCTTTTCATGAAATTGTAAATATAAAAAACAAAAGATCTGTAGTTCTTTGAGAGACTATAGGATTATCATTGTTTTCTTTTCTTTTAACTTGACAGA